TCTTGATGATCTACTGACGGATATCAGCACAGCGCAGGGCGACTTCCAGAACATCCATGCTTCAATCCAAGAGGCCGTTCGACACGCTCTAGAGAAGGCGGAGAAGTTCATTCGCAAAATGGACGAGAACATCTTGTACTATGTGGCGACCGTCTTGGATCCACGTATCAAGACGTCGTTGATCGCAGCGCACATGAACAGTGTCGATGTGACGTTGATCGTGTCACAGGTCCGAGACTTTCTTAAGACCGAATATCCGTTTCGTTTCAGTCTTCAACCTGAACCTCAACAACCGCCAGGGATGCCAGATTCGTTGTGGAAAACTTTGAAACGGTTGCAGCCGGGAGTCGGGGTCCAGATGTCCGACATCGACAGGTATCTTGATTCTGCAGCAGTTAGCTGGTCACAGAGCTGTGTAGAAGATGGCAACGCTGACTGGGCGCTCAAGTGGTGGAAGGCCAATGCCTTCGAGTTCCCGTCAATGGCACGCGCAGCCCGTGACTATTTAGCGGTTCCTGCTACGGAGGTCGGCGTGGAACGTGTGTTTAGTGGAGCTAGAGACGTCCTAGGTCTCCGACGACAGTCGATGAGCGCTGACACCATGCGCTCGTTGGTCCTGCTTAAGGGCCACTATGATTCTCGCATGTAGATATGAGAAAAAAAGTGAAGTGTAAACTGGTGGAGCAGGAGACATGATTTGCCGTAGAGTTAATTGAACTGGGGCAGATTCTGTTAGATTCACACACAACTCGACGGCGACGGCGAGGATTGAATGAGGATGCGACACGACAAAAATCTGGTTATTTCCATTCAGGAAATGACGAGCATCCACCCTCCCTTTCCTGCGACCCACATGTGTGAATATTCGTGAATATTCACGAATATTGCGAATACGAATAGAGTCCATATTCGTATTCACATTTATTCGCCAAGACTTATTCATATTCGTCTTTATTCGTGAATATTCACATTATTCGTATTCATTTCGGAGCCCTAGAGACAACACGTATCTTCTCCCCCAAGCACCGGCATTAACTTTTCAAGACTCAGATCTGATGTGCAAGTTGACTCAGGCGCAAGGTAATCAAAGCGGGGGACCCGTCTTGATGGCCCCGCAAGCTAGTACTGTTCTTCTGCGATACCTAGAGAATGGCCACATCACCCAGCCAGACGTTCCTCCGAACAAGCCCACATCGGGCCAAGTCTCGGTGTATGCCACCACCCAAGCCCGGGATGATGACAAATTTACCGCTATTCATGGCCAATGGACAGCTGATAAGACTGGAGGTGACCAACGTGGCTTTCTCTTGACAGTTACGCCATTCGATGACGGTCGTTGTTTCCAGTTCGACCCTACTGGACACAGTGCAATCGCGACCAACCGAAGCAACACATTCGGTCCAGGACCCTCGACCACAGAGACACCCAACAGATGGTGTGGAACCACCATCAAGCTGAACGACGAAACAGGTAATCCATTTCCCAACGGAACCCTCGTCACACTCTATTGGGTGTGGGATTGGCCGACATACGTACCTGGCAATCCCGGCACCTCCCTGGCTATATTGAACGAGACTTACACATCTTGCATGGAGGTGGAGATTGTCTGAGATTATTTGCATATCCACTAACGTTGTGCCAATGAACGGCGAGACCATTCGTGGATCGTGATTATTGCTTACAAGCTAAATTGGAACTTTGAATCTAGTCTAGGTTATGTCAGGTTGTCGACTATGGTCGACTTCCCATAGAGTATATTAAGACGTTATTTGCAACCTTTTCTGCAGTCTAGTGACCAATGATCGTTGACGACTATTATAAGGCTCAATAACTCATTCATATGCCTAGAGTACCGCATGGCCAACGTATACATACAATCTGGCAATCGAATCCTCTGCCCGCCATTTCGAAAATGTATGTCCTAGCGGACGTTGAATCCAGGATACCCCTGAGCAGCGGCCTCTTTGAGGAAGTCGATGTACCGATGCACCCCTCCAAGGTAACACAGAGGTTGCTTCTTCCGTCCCTCAATGTTCGCGCCCATATACCATGAATCAGTCTCACCGAATAAAGTCCTTTTAGCAGCCTGATCATTTTCTGCTTTCCAAGCTTCTTCCGCTTGGTGATCAGGCTCAATCACTGCCTTATTCTCAAGCCTGAGCCAGGTTAGACAGTCGACAATCCACTGGCCCTGAACCTCAGCCATTTGTGGGGTGAGTCCTAGAGCAGATGGTGCTTGGGGACCGATCGGGAAGAACATGTTAGGAAATCCCTCTGTCATCAAACCAAGCGAAGTATGAATTCCCGCCGAATCGTCGGACAACATCCATTTCTCGCGGAGATGCCGGCCTCCAACTCCTCGGATATCCATGGTAAGCATACTGCCGACGATAGCGTCGAAACCCGTTGCCAATATAAGCACGTCGAGCTCGTGAAAGTCTTGTGAGGTTCTAACGCCGTTTGGGAGTACTTGCTCTATAGGATGCTCGTTGACATCGACGAGCACCACATTGTCCTGGTTGAACCTTTCGAAGTAAGAAGTCTCCAATGACGGGCGTTTTGTCCCGAATGCATGGGGAGCTTGTAACGGGGCCAGCTTCGCAGCTACGCTGGGATCACGTACACGATCCCGAACCGACTTTGCCCAGAACCTGTAGGCCTCTTGGTTGGCCTCTCGGGAGGACAGCAGGTCGTCATAATTGGCTAACCAGAAATGGAGCCCTCCACGGTCGAACAGTCGTTGATAAAATACTTCTCGTTGATCGGCATTGTCATCGAACGTCTTCTTGGTCGGTATGTCAGCATTAAACCCAAACCTCGATACGCGCTGGTCGAACAGTGCGGGATACCGAGTTTTCATCTGCCCACGCAGATCATCATTGAGGGCCTCCTGTCTCAGGGGAGTGGCCATGTTGGGCGTTCGTTGAAACACGACTAGCTTCTTAACATCGGGAGCCACGTTTTCGATGATTTGGATCCCGCTCGCACCCGTTCCCACGACGCCCACCCTCATGCCTGTCACAGAGAGATTCTCTGGCCACTCCGATGAATGGTACGCCAGTGGAAAAGACTCGAGACCCGGGAATGCCGGCACATGCTTGATCGTAGTGTAGCCAGTGCACGGAGCAAAATAAGTGGTTTCAGCCAGCAAGTCCTGTCCACTGAAAATTCTCCAGTGCCGTGCTTGTTCATCCCAGTGAGCGGCCGTGATCCGTGTACCGAAGTCAATGTCCTCATAGATATTCAACTTTTGGCAAACCCAGTAGAGGTAGTTTCGAATCTCAGCTCGTGAAGGGAACTTCTCGGACCATTTCCAATCTTTCCAGAGCTCGGGAAGACTAAACTCATAGAAAGGGACTTCGGTGTCGACTCGACAACCTGGGTAGTTCGTATAATACCACACACCTCCAACTCCTTCACACGCGTCCAGGAGACGGACTGTGAAACCACCTTTCTTCAACAGATACAGCAACCATAAGCCGGCCCAGCTTGCTCCGACGACGACGGCATCAAGCTTTTTGGGGGATGCCATGGTGTAGCCGCTTCAATGTTCAGTTAGGAAATGCTTTTCGCTGCTCCCACGTTGCTCGTGAGAGGTTCTGGGGTGATCTGCGTACGAAACGACTGATGTGAAATGCTGGCGGGGTCAGAGATGGAACTCCTACCGTCGACGTATCAGTACTCCAGGGGGTATTTATAGTCAATCAATCTGTCACAAACAAAGGCTCCTTCCCGTACGAAAGTCTTACAGTATCATCTTAAAGTTACAGTAGTCTGGATAGAAGCATGGAACTACCTCCTAACTCCTAGTTTGGGCAAAGTATACGCGCATTGTTATGGCGTCCTTAAGAGCGGACTTACGAACGCAACGAATTGGGTTCTACCCCTATCATTCTAGATTTCCAAGCCCCAGCATTCTTAAGTCATCGTGAGTTATAAAATCCCTGTGAGGCGTCAATATTCAAATAACATTGATATTATCTCTGGTCTTAGCTTTCACAGCTCAGTGTTCACCTGGCACTCCCCTTCTCCTAGGCTGCACCATCTATTCTAGCGTAAAATCTGCATCAGCACCTGCACCTTCTTCGGCACTGCATTCGTATGCGACAACTTATGCCCAGAGTGTATTGACAGCCCGACCAGAAGCTATATTGGACCTGTATGCTGACGTCAAAAAGCCAAGCGCTGGTCGTGATAGTTCAGAAGGGGGGTCTACTAACGATCCTCTAACCTGATACTGTATCTAGCAGGTACAGTTTGATTTGTTACGGGCATAATCTGGTTACGGAAATGTGTTCTGTCTTGTCTAGTACGATATCTTTTAATTGACAACAACCCAACCATCACTCAGAGTAATTGGAGAGAGTTTAGTTGAATTATGATATGGTTCTACCTGTATTCTAAATGGGCTACTGTACTGTAGCCCTGCCTCTGGGAAGTAGACACTATCATCAAGCCAGTAGAAAAGCTGGTCACCCAAACTCCAGTGCGGACCTCACAGTCTGTTCCTTCTTACGCAACGTACACAACCATCTGGTGGCAGCTATAGGCGTCCCGTGACCCAAGGGGTCGCTAACCAAACAAAGTGCGTAGAATAACTATGATCAGAGGAACAGAAGCCCCAGACGATGTGCTTGTCGATGTATTTCCGCCTCCTACATGACTCGTCAATGCTGGAACGGCTGTAAGAGACCCAAAGTGCACTGAGGTGCTTTCCGTCGTGAAAGTTGTCGTGGATGGAATTGATGCACTCGTGCTTGGGATCGTAGTGGTGGACGGTCCACTAGAACTGATGAACATTGACGTGGATCTTCGAAAGGTCTGCGTGACTGATGATGTTGGTTCAGGTTCAGTGCTAGTACTCAACAGCGTTGGGAGAGGCCCGTCGACGGAAGGGATTCTCGGGGTCAAAGATGTGTCTATGTTTCCATCGTCCTGGATAGTGACGTTGACGGTGAAGACGGAGGAGTTTCCACCAATGTTGACATCAATCTCGGGAGAGCTTGATTTGAGTGTTACATTAGTGGGAAGTCCTTTGGGTACAAATGTTGGAAGCCTCATGTCTGGATGTCTGGTAATATTCGGCAAAATGTGGTCAGAGAAGGGGTGATTCCTGACGGCTCTTGGTGGAAGGTAGGTAAGACGGTAGTCTTATACCCTATCTCGAAGTCCCTAAATTTAGCAAAAGTAAAAATAGACACATCTGTTGCTATTATTATCTGTGGTATAGGCAGCTGCTGCCCTTAAAAGGGGTGTATGCTCACTTCACATCCTTCTTTCCTCCTTTCACACATCTACAGTACTCTACTTCGGTTCTCTTGACTCAGAATCCTTTGGGAAAGCTACACCTTGTTCAAACTTGGTACTCTCTACCCAACTGTTAGCCATATTGTTCGCTCTTCGTCACAAAAACATCAAAACAACCCTAAACAAACCCCAAAAATGAGCTCTGGAGGCAGTGAACTTATCAAGAACCCCCAGCCTAAGGCGCTCGGCAGTGATGATCCTAGTAAAGCACACGAGGAAAATGGTAAGACAGATAATCAACAGGCTAACGCTGCTGGCTATCCCTCTCTTCCTTCACTTCAGGGCGCAGATACCACGATGCCAACGCCAGACCGAGATGGCGATCTACCTATGCCAGATACTGGGGTGAATGCCACCAATGAAGATCCAGGGGCAAAAACCGGGACAAAATCCACTAACAATGGGAGAATATATACCAAAGAACAACGGGACGAGGTGAACCGTGTCCTGAAATGCAATGAAAAGGAATACTATCAGATTCTAGAACTGCCTCGAGATGCGCCAGACTTGGACATCCGAAAGGCTTACCTCAGGCTCTCTTCATTGATTCACCCTGACAAAAATGCCGACAAAGAGACCACCACTGCATTTCAGAGTAAGTACCACATGTCCACAGGTGCCTCTTCAGGAGTGTCGAGACTAATGGTGCGTCCAGGGATGCAAGCAGCCTACAACGTCCTAAGTGATCCAGTACGGAAAAGGGAGTATGAGGCGGCGTGGCAAGCTAACCAGACTGAAGCCAACAACAGCCATGCCGAAACATTCGGGGAAGAGTTTGGGCCTAACGCTTGGGGCAGTGATTCTGACTCGGAAGATTCCCCCGATGAGGAGAATAATCTCGATGAGAGTAAACAGATCCCGGATGACTTCAGAATCAAAGTTTTCGAGCAAGCCACGCCCCACGTGAACAAGGTATTGGCGAAGCATAAAGATTCGTCCAGCCTTGCGGAAATAGACCAACTCAACCAAAAGATCAAGGCGAAGAATGAAGAAGATGGGCTGCCGAATAAGGAGAGCTTCTTGATCCGAACCAACGTCTTGGTAGCCATCGGATTGGAAATGTCGCACGTGAAGTCCCGCCTGAAGAAGAATCCCAACGATGAGGCCGCTGTCAACAAACTGGTCTCACTCGATAAGCAGTTGAAGACTCTCTGCAGGACCAACCATTATCCGCAGAGTTGGAGACTTAAGATGCCGGATGATTGGCGCAAGAGAGTCGAGGAGCACGAAGCTACGGAAGAAGGAGGAAAAGAAAAGGGCAAAGAGGGCGGTAATGGGCCCCCAAGGGTTCGGTCGGAGAAGGCGCGCGGCACTACATCAGGACCATCGAACGAATCTCCAAAAGCAACAGACCCAAGCGAAAAAGGGGGACCGTCTTCAAAATCCGACAAAGTGACCCGGAAACCATATTGGGAACCAGGCATGACTACGAATGGTCAGAAAATTTTGGGCTATCGACCCTTCAATCGAACCGATCGGAGGACAGGCATCGAGAGTATGTACGGTGTTCAATTTGTGGTCGAACGACGCGGATCTGACAACCCCATCATCCTCCTCTCGGGAACGGAAGTGGGAAACCGCGCCACCGATGCTTATTTTCGTTTACCTGAATCCGAGCAAAAGGACCTTCGATACTCCGAACGAAGATATTCGCCCAAGGACGCGGAAAACTTCGAAAAACTCCTCGGGTTTGCCACGAAAAGGATGGATTCCTTGACCATCTCCGAATCTACAAGATATCCTGGGTACGGATTAGTGGAATTCAAGTCGGGCGAAACCGACATTTTGAGCCGCACCGCTTTGAGGAAGATGCTGGGGAAGACGGACGCGGATGATAAAATTGCACCTTTCTTTTCTGGACCATCGCCACTGATTGAGTCTGCTCGGGTCAAAGGCCAACTGAAGTCAGGCGTACATGAACTAGGAAAGTCCAATCCGGACGCTTCCGAAAGCGGCGACTCGGAAGGGCTGTTCGTCCCAGAACACAAATCGAGGAAACGACAGGGCTCGAAGGCCAGGGAAGGTCAATTGGAGGCTCAGCCAGAGATGCCTGATGTGATGGCTGCGATCATGGCTCAACTGGCGCGCTTGGAACAAAAGGTGTCGCAACTCTCTGACTGAAAGTGAAATCGGCGGCTTTTCCGGACTGATTGCCATTCTCCGATGACGTCGTTCCCTGCGGTCCTTTCAGATGAGTTGGGGATAGTTTGCTACAAAGGAGCACCGTAGTTTCGCGATTTGGACGGACATAGATGCATGGCATTTTATAGGATCTAGGATAGACTTTTAAGTGATCTTCATGGTTGATCCTCATGCTAAACAGCATCCATAGACTTGATCATGTACATTGCTCGAGTTGTGCTACATCCCTGCGCACACACTCAATCTGTCATGCATTTTGCTCTCGTTGCTCACCGACGGACCGGTTACAGTAAATCTGCCAACTCATATGATCATCGTCATGTGCAGGTCCTTGATGTTCAGCTACTTTACTCGCATCGTCATCAAATCGGTTCCATAAATCACATGTGGATAGGTCACTCCAGCTCGTATTGTTCTGGTGGAAGAGCAGGTTTGAATCATTGTTCATTGTCGGAGGAACATGCCGTGTTAATCTGGAGTCTAGCTCCGGATACCCCAAGGAGCAAGACAGACACGGTTGAGCGTTCAGATAATAAGGACATGAGGAATTTCTCTGTGGCAGCCATGTGTAAGGGGCGAGCATGACAGAGACGGGTGATTGTCCAATGGCAACAACGATCGGGGTTGTGATAGCTGCATAGGCTGGCATAGTTGGATAGATAGAGATGGCAGGAGTGCCCAGACCGCACCAAGGGTTGTTTAGATCATAGTTGATCTGCCACCAAGAGCTAGCCGGCCAAGAAAGGTCCGAGATCGACGGATGTGCTTCGGCTGTCGGTTGTTGCCCCGCGTCGGCTTGCCCGTTGTAACACCACGGATTCATCTCGTAGCCTCCTAGGTTGATCGTGCTCTTGAAAGTGTGTTACAGCACACCTCCAGCATTCGGGGGCCTGCTTATATCTTTGCCATGGAACCTGCAATACTGAGATCTGCCACACCCCCTACCCAGTCTCGATTGGCATTACCTGCCGATGTCGAGCAGCAAGCTTCGATTCTTGTTTCCGAATCAGTGATCGTAATAATATCTCCGCAGTCTCATTCCAAGTCTGGTGGGTAAATATTCGAAACTGTCAAGAGCTTCCCCGGCCGAACTGGCCCATATATTCAAAGCTTATCCATAGACCTTTTGAGCTAGGCTTAGCCCTTTTGAGCGATATTGCATCTGCTTTTCACAGCGTGGGCTTGGCACTTCCGTCTTCAGTCGCCAGGATGACGACTGATTGGCGGAGCATTTGACCCATCAGAATCAATAGTCGGGCGCGTCAATTCGGTGGTCGCGTTTGTATGTGCCACTCTGCTCCATACAGTACATCGGAAGACAACGCGCTTGCAGGGAGGCTTTCAGATCGACGCAAGTGTAGCCAATCAACCATGCTGCTTTTGATAAAGTCGAAAAAATGGCATAGCGGGCAATCTTGACTCCGATCACAGAAGGGCACTCCAACCTCAGTTGCAGTTTACCACTGTGGTACTTGGTCTCTGGTCGACTTGCAAGAATGCCGGAAAGGTTATGTTGTCAGTGACCTTCTAACTCCGGCTCCATTGTCCAGGCATCTTACATCAGATACCGTCGACTGATTTCAGCGAGAGAAATCTGATTAGCTGGAGCCCAGGAGTACATGTCTCGTAATATCGCCGAGTCCACGACCAATGGACCAATTCGTGTCTTCGGGTTTGATCAGAGAAGTACAGTATTACTGGACTCTCTCTCAGTCTCCAATCGTTCACCGATATGCTGGCCACCCTCACGAAGCAGTTGGCCGCTGTGTCGGCCGTTCTAACACCAATCTGTCCTGGGCATGCACCATCAGCACTGCAGAATCTTCGTCCGCAGACCCTTGCCACGGAAGAAAGAATCTCACCGATGTCCTCTGCCTACGCCCTCGACGCGATGACTCTTTCGGGGGAAAGCAGTCAAACAACCAGAAGAAGATGGGTTAACACTATTCCCTCCTGATCAGGACGCTGGAACATGGTTCCAGGTGTGATACCTTTCCGGTCCACTCTACCTGCAATCACAAAGATGGATGAGATGGATGAGATGGATGTCTGTCCTGCACATGGGTCATTCTTCCTAGACTTGGACATGCCACCTCTCGACCGTCTTCTCGTTCGTCACTCTTCCTGCGAGGCAACCCTCGCATGTTTTGAAGCACCTGACATCCATGCACCTTTGGCTCTCTCCATCGTGCATCTCGAAAGGCCCCAACGTTTCCATCCTCAAGCTGGGCGACAATGCTCAAGTTCCCATCGGACCCTGGCGGCTGGCCGTCGTGGACTTGTTCGGACAAAGGGCACCAGAAGTTCTCCATCGATGGCCCTACCGTTTCAGTGCTTCCGGATCTTTCTCGCTTGTCGTTTGGAGAAGCTTATCAGCAACGACTAAAGCAACATGGATCTGTAGTCAAAGGCCGCACAGTAACTCTGGCAAGAGCAGACTGGACAAGTGCAGATAATCCCCTACAAAGGACAACGACAGCACCTGGTCCTTCGTGGGAGTCTCTCGATGAAACCACCCTGATCGAAAAGTGCGAAGATGCCCTGACAAAGTATAGGGCTGTCAAACTTGGCCCTCTCGAATATGTGACGTGCTCGGGACAGCATCCTCGTCGACGCTCTGCCCTGGGACTTCCAGAGACCCCTCTGTCTACCAGCAGACGTCTTCTGGCCACTCACAACCACATTCCCGGTGTCCATTCGAGTCAAGTTCGTGTCAATCTGGGAGCATCCTTCGTGTTTCTGCACAAGCAAGAGGTGGATCTTCAATCTGTCACAATGCTTTGGAGCGGTGACCCCGTCCTTTGGATCGTCGTCCCGCCAAGGCAAGCCTCCGTCCTGGAGGGACGTCTCGCGGAGAACCTGAAGCTGCCGCAAGCCTGCAGCCAGTTTGTCCGTCATGGCAATCTCCTGGTGCCGCCGTCGGCGCTTTACGAGTGGGAGATCACCTTTGACATATTCCTGCAGCGACCCGGAGAGGTCGTACGAACGGACTACCTCAGCTATCAGTGGGCATGGAACACCGGGCCCAACGTCGTCGAGAGCATCAGCTACTGTGAAGCAGATTGGTGTCCCTCACCCATATATCGCCATTGCCGGAAGTCCAGCCGCAATTGTGGTTCGAGTCCCATCACGGCCGAGGCCATGGTACTCGGCCAATATCGTCCACTGGATGTTGTGGAGGAATGGGACGAAGACATCATCGACCCCCAAGATGATGAAGTCACAACGCCAGATCATGATAGTGACTCACAGTCGGAGTCCACTGTCACCTCTCCAACGCATGATTCGCCTTCCTGCGACTGTTCTTCTGGTGGGAAGTCTCTGGCCAAACTGGAACTCAAAGCAAACAATGCATCGTCAGGCCCTCCTGCAAATCGACCCCTTCAAGCTTACGTCCAAAGTGAGGATGAGGATTCTGAGATGAAGGACGTCGACGATGATCCATCTCCTCCACAAGAACCAGAGTTGCAATCCCCTAGCAATGACTCTAGTACGACGACGCCGGTGAACGTACCTATGTTCCTGGATTCTGACGACGATACGGATGAGGACGTGAAGGGCTCTGCATACTCTCAGCCAGTGTCATCACCGAGGAATCAGTGTTCGAGCGATGAAAGTATATCAAAACACGACGAATGGCAGCCCGGGAAGTTCTACCGCTCCACAAACTTCAAGAAGGCCGCACTTAGACCGGCCCCGCTTCCGACGTTTTCGCCTGGACCACAGACAGACTCCCCGACGGGTGGCTTGAGCGACCTCTTTGTCACTAACTGTGATGAGCCTACATCATCTGAGCAAGGGGACGCCAAATCTGGACCTGGGTTGGAGAAATCTGTCTGTGGGACGTCCGATCCCTTCCAATCGTCTCCACCGTTGTTCCCAGCCCTGTCTGTTTCATCTTCAGAACCCTCAGGAACACCCCACTCCCATCCGGATCCTACAAAACAGTGCCGCTCTTCTGGCAGTAGTATGTCTCCAGATGCAAAGGCAGCAGATGCCACGATAATCTCCATCGCTTCTTCACAGGCAAGCTCACCACTCTTTTCTGGATTTGTAGGGAGCAGGCATTCATACAATACACCTCCTAGTACGGCTCACACGGCTCAATGTGTGGCTGTAACCTTCCCGGCGCTCGATCGAAAACTGCCAGAAGAAGAAATGATCCAGGATATCGATCGACTGATTGAGCTTGGATGCCGAAACCGTGGTCTGATTCCTTGGGTCACCACCCATCCGCAGGCCGTTGAGCGCATGTTAAATACCTTTCGACCGGGCCAGTGGCTCAATGACGATGCGGTAATGGAATGCCTCTACCGTATGGCCATGGACCGATGTGACGTGCACGTCGTGGAGTCTCATGATTTCAATGCGGCCTACATCCAGAAGAACCCGGCCAGAATCTGCAGGTGGCAGACACCCTCGACAGCTCTGGTTCCGGTTCATGTCGAGCAGACGAGCCATTGGTTTCTGGTGAGCTTGCACTTCACCCACCGTCAACTTACGGTGCATGACTATGAGAACGAGAGGTCCGTATCCGTGGCTCATTTCATTCTTTCCGGCGCACCAGAGCTCAGCGGGTGGACGGTGAGATACAGTTCAGTAAGTTCTCCTACAGTTTGTTTCTGGTCAATCCGACTAGCTTGGTCTAACCGTTTAGGGTTCAATCAATGACGGCAATAATTGCGGTGTCATTCTGCTCCACGAAGCGGACAAAATCTTGGGACACACGGACCCAAGCCCCCCAAACTTCGTCGCTCTCCGGAGACGTTACATACAATTGATTGTGGCTAGTCGACCGACGGAAGCTCCCCAAGCTACCTCGCCCTCTTCCGGAAATGTCAGCACCACCGGTCCTTCATCTTGGGGGTTGGTAAGCCCCAGCCCTGATCCCTGCGCGGGGTCGAAACCGAATTTCAAAGACTTGCCACCGCAAATGAAGATGAAATTCCTTGCCTCCTCCATGGGGTGCAGAGAGGTCTGGGAGGACTTTCGAGACCTAGTTTGTATTTTGAAAGACCAGTCACTTCGATTCCACAGTGATACTCAAAGGACCATGCAGCTGTACAACAGTAGTCGAAGTCTCCGGCAAGATGTCCTTTCCGGTCGTACCCCATCCAACGTAACCATTCAGAACGCTCTAAGACTCTACGACACTATCAGCTCGCCTGGACATACTTCAGAAGTTTTATATACCAGCATCCCCGGAGGTGACCAAGATGGCTTGCAGGTAGCGGTCCAACTGTATACCCGAGGACGTGGCTACACGAAGCTCGGTAGCCTGACACGAGAATTCGGGGCACTGTCTATTACTTCCACATATCGCGCACTAATGAGAATCTTTCAAAATAAATCGAACCCAGGCGCATCAGAGGATGTCGACATGCAGATAGTAGATCGAACGGAGCCTGCCAAACAGGGCCAGGGATCAGATACGCTTACCTACAAGTACATGCTGAAATGTACTGGGCAGGATGAAGACCCCAAAGCCCTCCGTCGTCTTCAGAGGGCCATTTGCCGGGGCAATCGTCTACACCACTTTGAAGACATCTGCGGGCCCGGTCGACCGCTGTGGATGCTACGACCGATAAGAACGATCTCGTGTCCTCTGGATCCTGATTACACAATCAGGCCTGCTTGGTGAGTGTGCCACAAGCCCTTTTATCCGTCATGCAAGCACTTACTTATTCCTAGTTATGAAAAACTTAACAAACGTAATATTCAAACGTTGGTTGACTCGGTCAGGGACATTAAGCCTCGACTTTGGGACTTTTTACCACGCTGTGGGCGAGGGATTGAGCGAATGCTCGCTGGTGAAGGTGTTGATGACGGATTTATCGAGGAGTTCGAAAGCCTCTTCTCGGGTTAAAATGGATTTAGCTTTACAGGTGTTTGTGGTGTCATGGATGCCTATGGTACGATGTATACTGTACAATATTACAGTTTCTCTCGAGTAACAAAAGTCTTCCAGTACAGTATGAACGGCATGGTTTGTTGCTGATTCGTGCTCTCCCCGATGGGGGTTTTCGCCGTTGTTAGAATCTACTGAACGTTGAACAGCCAAAGAGAAGGGAATATCGGCCAACTTTACGCTCGTAGTATGTCCACCGGCCATTGCTCTATCCCCTGCTGTCGTCCTATCTTATTCTTAACTAAATAGTAGCAGCTGGTAGAGTGCTCCAGAACATCACGTTAGGTATTCTTCGTTTCTTTTAGAGTGCTACTGACCAACACATCACCGGAATCCAACGATGAAGTGCGTGAGACCGCAAGGTGAACTCTTTAGTACTGTAAGAGACTTGACTAGCGGAGAAATGTATAGAAGGAGGGGGAGGTGATTGGGAAAGACTACACAAGCTCGTAACACCCTTGGAGGTGTCTGAGCCGCCCGCATTATTGACCATAGCCTCTTCCCCACGGGTTCTGCAGACAAAAGGACCTTGAGGAGGGTCAAATGTGGATATGAAAAAGGACCACGCACAGCACGTTGAAGTCGTGCAAGTTTTTCTCCATAACTTCCTATTGGCCTCTATCGAGAACCTACGACGTGCTGTCCGAGCTTCCTCGTTTATGCATGTCTGAGATTGGGAGGGTGATATGGGCCAGTAAGAGAACCTCCAGCCATCGTTGTTGGGTCACATTTTTTTGAGACATGTGGAAGAGCTGATGCAGGTTGATCATGTCGTTGACGACTGGGTAAACAAAGTGTAAGGAATACTAGAGCTCTGCTCGCACGAGAACAGCACGGGCCAAGATCTGCTCAAAGCACCCCGAAGAGAGTCCTTTTCATTCCCTCGCTTCATAATTCCCTGCATACAGTAAAACAAGGCACTGTGGCCCACATTGAGGATCGTGAGACGCAGCACAGAATGGGTCCCCCGACACTGTACTGCAAGGTGAGAAATCGGCCGAGGAGCACCATCGCCAAAGTGCTCTTGTTTTCCATGTGATTTTTCAACCTGTTACTACAGTAGTTCTACGTTTAGGACACTGTCAAACTAACTCTCTCGTGTCCTGCCGGAGCTCCACTCGTGAAAATCTAAGAGGTGTTACCCATGGGGCTAATGCAGAAAAGAAACTCCAAAATTCAATAGTCTTCTCGGCTACACCTTCGAAAGATACACTGCTGTACAGTACAACAGAGAGAAAGGGTGAAGAGACTTGAGCACAATGATGGCACTGACTCTGACTCGGTCCTGGGTTCCTAAATTCTTTTTGTAAGTAACCAATGTGTGGCCCTTTGGGCAGATGGGTTCGATTTCTATGCTGAACTCTGCGGAATGTCACAGCACGGATGTAGATCCTTCAACGCCACCAAATGGTGATCCTGGGGTGCTACCCGAAACGATCTACGTGATCCTTCAGACCCTCGCGCTAAACTGTAGAGCTATGCTGCCTTCTATATCTCCGCCCTAACTCCTTTCGACTGGTATGCGAGACGGCGATTCGACGGCCATTTCTTCCACATTCAAGCCGAACCAAGGAAGTTCCCGGTGTATAAACTGCGCAATATCCAGCCAGATCCGATCGTACTCCGGACAAGACAAATTTGCCAAGCCATACAGCAGCACCAACAACCAAAGAATCCAAAACCCAGAAGCGGCCTTGGCCTGTCCCGAAGCGCCTGGTTTCGAATCCTCTGAAATAGTGAACTCCTCGACCATGAGATACGCGCGCGGCAATTCTTGAGGACCAAAGATGATACCTCGAATCCTCAAGCATGTTGAGTCGCACCCTCATACAGGCCGTCAGGGCTGTTATAAGAAGCCTCATGGAGACTGGGGACTTTGACAGCCTTTTCTATTGCTCAGATTCCACGGAGTCTCAAATTCACGACCTTCAGCACTGCAGACTATGAATGAAAGAGCACATCAATCTTTACCAGGACCAATTGCCGAGGATCCCTGGGAGGTTACAGTGGGCTTGAAGCAAGAACAACATGCTCTACGGAGAGTCCAGCACGATCTTGAAAATGTGGATCCGCGCGAGATCACGGATATTCACGACAAACCTCGCGTTTGGACACAGCACCAGGGAGACCGCACGTCACTGGCTGTCCTCCCCTCCAATGTCAAATACCCTCGCCAGGCGTGCAAGCTACATTCGAGGTGTAAAGCAACCATCCAGGACAAACGATATGATCCTAGAGAGCACCATACCCTCCTTTTCACTCTTTTTAAAGTGTGCCACTCCCGACGGCCAAGATTTCGACCAACAGCGTTCGAGAGTACCCAGGCTAGTGCAAATGGCCCTTCAGGGTCACCGACCGCGAAAGTTACAACGTATCCACGACAACCAATAGAGGCTAAACAGATATTTCCGCGACGATCCACGAAGACAGCGGGCATCAAGTCAACATCTGCAGGCTGTACGACCCTATACCCAATGGCTGTCATTGCCGAGCGTTCCGCAATCCCATGACCAGACTTATATGCCTGTAGACTTTTCAAAGAATGGTCGACGTCTCCATCGCTTGATACGGGCGCATAAAGTGGGAGGACTATAGGTCAAAATCAGAAGATCGAGTTCGAGGTCCTCGACAAGCACAGCGACTAGTGCAATTCAGCGCAAAGTGTAGTATCTAGGTATACTTAAGGCGGAGCACATCGTTTCTCGAGTCATCTTGCAAAGCTCTACAGCGAAAATATCAATTGAGATCAATTGAGCCTTCCACAGGCAACTATGTCCGGCATCGAGTATTTCCCGGCCTTCGCAGTCGCTCAACACGGCTATACCGTATACCTCACGATTTTCGACCGGAATAGTTGTCGGCAGCCAGAGCAAGTTACGGTTAATTTCTTCTCGGGTGTCGAAGACTACACTTTCGTCTCCCGTTATTCAAGTTCGGTGTCTTTCGCCTTGCGGGCGCCCGTAGGAGTTATCACTATCACGTTCTATACACGAGGAGAGCCTCTGAAGTTTCTTCAACCTTCGATCTATCACACATTTGCTGTGGTGCCTGTCTATATCAAGTGCTATAGCGCAATCATAGCTCCACTGTGCTACCACCAACAACTGATTGCGGAGGAGCTGGCCCGATTAAGTGGAAGACAGTTAGCAAGAAGGCAAGGCAATCTTGTGGGAGAGCCTAGGCTGCATAGATGACTCTGATCCTGTTAACAATGGGGGTATTAAAATATTACATATGCGAGAGGAGTATCTCAGTCGAAGCCATCCTCGTCGGTCCATAAAGTCTCGATTTGCCTAGTCATAGTGTCTGGGGTATGACATTACTTACCTCACGCACAAGCGCTGTTATAGAATGAGTGACCGAGTGAGACTGAAAAGAGGAAACTAATACCAGCGAGCTTTGGCGATAACACCCTGAAGAGAATGATCCTTTTACTACTAACAACAAGTCCTTCGGACACCAATGGTTATTCGGCAGCTTATTCTTGGACTTGATTCAGTTTGTTAATCTCCGTCATCTTTTGTAATTTCAGATGACTTTCCTGGTGGTTCTGTCGTCATTATTTCCTTCAGGGCATATATGCTCGGACGAGCTCGACGGCCTCCAAAACCTCAGGACGATCTGACGTGCTCCTACTGCCCGGAAAAGGCCTTGGACAGCGATGATGTAAAAGTTGTTCGGACCTTCCAACGATGTCTTCCCAGCATTGAAGGGCTTGAGACTGAGATTCAAAGGCCTTACAGTATGTCGGTCGTCGATTGCTTATGAAGAGATCGTCTTGGGTGACTGACGACTCGTGCTTTTCCAAAACGCATCGGTACTGCCATTTCCCAGGCTCGGAACTGGGGTCCCTGCCGATCGTCGACAGGCAAGGTAAACTTCGAAAATGTCTGATAAAGGCGTCGTCATTCGCTTTGCACAGGTAAAATGCCACCACATAGGTTGCTTCGCCCGAGTTGACACTACCAGGAAGATGAATTGTCAGTACAGTTTCCGGATTACACCGACCCTGAACTTACTGATTAATTTCTGAGCCACAAAATAAAATCTCCAGCTTCTGGATACAGTCTTGAAGCGATGTCACGGTAAGCTTCTTATCGGTGACAGGTTTGCTAAACAGACATGAAGTGCCCAGAATCTCCGCCAGCTGTCTCAAGTCCCGGTTATGTCTGCTCCACGGTTTTAACCCAGTCAAATTGCCAGAAGGAATTACGGCAGAGCCGCGAAGAACCAACCAAACGTTCATCTCCCACGTGAGATCTGCCCACACGAATTGCCGTAGTGGTTTCAGGAACGACTTCTGAGGCCAATCCGGGAGCTGGCTCATCTGTTCAAGATTGTGCCTGAGCTGACTGCGCAGTTGACATGCTAGCGTCTTTTGAGCTTCCGCATCTTTCGGGAGGACTCCAGGGAAGGCGGACACAAACTCCGAGGTGAGTCCTTCCCAGCTGATGCTGTGGTCTGTTTGCGCATCTTGGAATTTATCATGGTCTTCTGTGTCCACCCTCGGCACCCATGTCTCCTTCTCTCTTTGGACCAAGTCCTCCAGTAGACGCGTAACATCAAATTCATAGTGGAAACCCTGGAGTGTCGATAGAACACCAAGTATGAGGGAACACTGCATCATCTTGAGCTGGTCATCATGTTGTTTCCCACTCGCAGTTGACTTGCCCATGGTGGCCAGAGGTTGATAAAAGTATGGTCAACAAGACGTTGGCAGAGTGTGAAGGAGGTTCAATATACTTGGATCGAGATCGTTGACTCGATAGAGGAGGTTCTGTATCCGAGAGATGTCTTCGGCGTAGGAGGAATACGTCCATTCAAAACGAGATGAACCACTGTCGACCGGGTGAGTACTCTAGGAGGAAAGGGTCGAGAAGCGACTGCGCGGAAGCAGTCAATGTTACAGTTCAGTTCCCATGGCCCGGAAAGTAGGAATAAGGAGAGTTGATTCGGCGGCGATAGGGGTGCTTTGCTGGCTAAGAGCTGCCTACGGGACCTAGGACATTAAAAGTGGCACCGGTACTCTTTGCTGTCTGAAGGACACGGCCTCGCGGCCCACGCTGGCCTTCATGGTCCCTTCAGAGGAGCGATCAGCATGACTGCAAACAAGCCAGGTAAACACCAAGATGGCCATCTACCGTCAAGCTGATTTGAGACAGAAGACTAAAACGCCGGCCGTTGAAACATCTAAACGTTGGGCTAGTTGCTTCGAAGGATTCCCTGCCTGATATAAACGTGCAGAAGAGAATGTCCCCAGCGGCGACAATTATCCATCAGATTTATCTCATACTGTACATTGGTCGACACCTCCGATCACATACTCAATACAGCGTCCTCCTTCCAGAAGCACTATCAATGTGTCGACTGACGACCCTATACTGTCATACTTATAAGTGATTACTCTATAGATCCTCCTGTGGCGCGTGTGAAGTCATTGCGAGAACGAAATCAGATTATCTGTTCCTCCGTTCGCGCCGCGACCGAATGTTCTCGTTCAGGAAACCGGTGTCAGAGGTTCCCACTGACAATACAAGAGATGATTAGGAAAGAGGGCGGTAGGTCAGGTTGTCAATCCCACTGGACTGGGTTAAGCGGGAGTACAGGCTTTTGGCAGGGTCCCAATTTTGTTCGTCCCACCATGCTTCGACACTCGATTCAGCAGGGGGAGAAAATTCTGGATAGAACTGTGAATGAAGCCTTCTCCAATATCCTGGACGCAAAGCTTGCAGCGAATGCATGTGGCCAGCATTGGGTCCGGTGTCCGTGATCATTGCATCTGTCCTTGACTCTTTGTGCCAGTTCCACTGCTTCTTTAATCGGTCCTACTTTCAACTGGAGGACCATGGAGACCAAGAGCACCTCAACATTCAGGTCTGGGGCGTGTTTCGCTATTGGAGAACTTCCTTCCAGGAGATTTCGAAATGTTCGACAACTCAACCAAATACCTTTTCAAGTCCCACAGGGATCGGCTGGAATCTTCGTGAGACTGTAAATTGTGACAGGCATCGAGTACAACAGCAGACATATCCATGTGAATGCGACAGAGTTCGCGCTCGCTTGGCTGCGCCCTAGACAGTACTGGCCTTGCTACCTCTGCATTCTCCGGAAAATACGGTCGACGAAGGGACACCAAACTGATTTTCGCATCGGTGCCTCGGAGCATCCACCAAAGCTGGCGAAAGTCATCTGAGCTTCCGTAATCTTCCCTCCTTAGTCAGGTGAAATCCCAGTATTAACCAAACACTCACCTGCGATGAGAAGCTCGGCCTCGCGAATGACAGATGCCAAAGTGACCCAAGCGGCATTTATTCGACCAATCCCAAGATACTGCTGCACCGTTCGATACTTAAGAAGGAGATTGTTCAGCTTCGAGTCTACAAGGGCCCGGTGTTCGCCAACGGATAACGCCTCAAGCATAATCGGGGTCCATTCTCTCGTCAGTTCTGTGGCTGTCCCGGGGAAAGGAGTTCAAGAACTCACTTTAGTTTTATCATAAGTGCATTCCGTATGTCTTTGGCTTCTTTTACAATTTCCGCAAGGTTCCTTTCCATCACACTGTTGAAAAGCTGTGAATGTTTTCTTTCAATGACAAAGTGTAGACCATACCCTTTTTCTGCCCTTTCTGCAGAGTCTGCAGGCATTTGGACATCGCACAGATTTCGATAGAGGAGACATTGCTTTCGATGTCATCTGGAGAGATTAAGAGTTGTGAGGGGGAGTTGAAGAAACCAGCTGTATAGAAAGAACGAACAGTGCTTCAACGAGGGGGGAAGCATTCAAGAAGCATTCAAGAAGCAGTCGAGCGTTGTCAAGAGTACTGGAGTCAGGAACTGTCCCGGCAACGGCGTTGTCCTCTCGGAGTTGCAAAGCAGGGATGGGTAGAGAGCTCGACGAACGCAATATATCCAAAGCTGAAATGCGCAGCCTCATGAGGGGGATGCCAGAAACACAGCTAGCCGTGAGCTTCTCAGTGGAGACTGCGCCCTGCGCCGCCATCACGACAGGCCTGGCTGGGGTTTCACTGTACGGATACTCCGTGCCATCTGGGGGCAATCTCCAAGGCAGGAGACGCTAGGCTCCTGGGGCAATTCTCAGAGAGGTATTCCTATTACTTGTTCTACTCTTGAGTCTTGTATCTCGGAGCTCACGAGCCACTGTTCCCCATGGAAACCTAATAAGACGTTTTAGCAGATTGCTAATCTTGAACATATGGTTCCCATCTTCATCCCATAGAATGCTCATTTCATATGTTCAGCATGGAACTTCAGACTCTATGCTGCCGTGATTCACCGTACGGAAAGTCAATTTTGCCGAGAAAGGAGATGAAGGAGATGTTGGTGAAGTTGGCCCATCCTCCCGCTTAGTACTGTACCAATTGCGCCACTGTATGCGTAGAACGACACCCCAATTCAATCTTCATCCATAACGTCAGACTGGCGGCACATCACCAGTAAAGGCAAGACAGAAAACTGTTTCTCCTCGAAGTCATAGGTGATGTAGCGATCTAACTAAAGCCCGAATTAGCGAGTTCCTGACGATCTACGATGGATCTTCCTTACCGTAGCAAGTCTTACCCCCAGCCAAAGACACCTCGCTGCACGAGGCGCTACATGACTCGGAAGCTCCAGTGTACGGTCGTCCACATCTGTGACCTGTCCCTCGAAAAATTGTGGTGGATAATAATGTCGGCAAGACCATTTGAATCCGCGCATCAAGAAGTCTTCTGGAAGTTGACGGCCAGTACCCGACTGGTGCTGCGGGAACGAGGGAGACTCGACTTCTTCATCACTCACACCAGATCTGCTGATTGCGTTCAACGACCGAACTATTTCTTCCCATGGAACAAAGTTCTCAATGTAAATAAGAGTCTCCGGAACGTACGACAGACCCCATAGAAACGCCAAAGTATAATGTAGGAACGGAGCAGTATTTCGAGCTCCGCGCTTGGCTGCAACAATAGAGACACATTTATGCCAAACAGGGAGAACGTAAGATGTGACTTCATTCGATGAAGAAAACTTCCCAGGTCGGCTGCCAGCTGGGGGGGCAGACTGAAGAAAGTCTCGTGCATCAGCCGGCTTATCTTGTTGCCAGAACCTCCGATGTCGCTCACCCGCAGTTGCAGAATGCTCGAGATTGTTTAAGCCGGAGAAGGATGTTGATGCTTCCTCGACTTGGTCTTTCTTAGTTTCTTTTGAATTCTCGCAGAGAGCCTTCCAGAGGAAGTTCTCATCGGATCCAAAGTCCAACATCATAGCAATCAAGGATGATGCCATCTCCGCTCCTTGACTTTTAAAACTGGATCCCGCTCGGTCGATAGTCCCGCTTAACTCCAATAAGTATCGATCAATGTGCATGCAATAAGCAGAAACGTAATCACGGGTGAAGAGAACGCCTGCGGCGGTGACCAGACTGGTTTCCACCCTGAGATGCTTCTGACTTGTCGCCTCATACTTCTTCAGAAACGGAGAGAACAAATACATAATTGATCCTCGAGCCTCCACGAAAGGGTCATCGCTGACGAGCGCCTTGGTGTAGTAAAACAGCTGGCGAACAACATTGGGCTTCGCCAAAACGGCCAAGTGATGCTGGATGCGACCTTCCGTTGGAGAGAGATCGGCCGCTCGATGATACCACATGCGAGCAGCACTTGACCAGTTCTCTCTATCCTGCATATCGTATTCTTCAATGGCCATTCGGTATCGTGCAAGGTCTCCTAAACATCGTATCAATGGCTCACAAAACACCGGCGCTAACTCTATCAACAAGCCCATCATCGGATAGGTTAGGTAGATAAAGCTGATCATATGCTCGATCGAGCGGGGCAGTAGACGACGGAGTAACTCCAGACAAGAGTGAATACTGTGCGTCCACATCCGCTCGAGCATATCGTGTTTTGTTGGGAGTCTTCGAAGTGCAGCTGAAGCTACGGGATGTTGACTGGCCATGAGAAAGTCATAGTGCTTGTGCAATAGGGTTCCGTGTAGGTTGGTCAATGCCTGCAACTGCTCGTCGGAGAACCCGTCCGTAGTTTGGGACAGTTGTTTGCGTATCTCGTCACACTGATTGTTGAAACTGACGATGTCCTTGTAGATTCCTTTCACTTCATCTACGAGCTGGTCCGGTAAGATAGGTGTTGTTTCGAGTTGCGATGACATTCGGGCGACATGAGAATTCCTGTGATACCAGCAAAGTTAGATTTTATTCAGATTGCAATGACGAATATGAGGGCGGTACCGCAGGGAGCTTTTCTCCTTGGAACAGTTGCTTGATAACTTTTTCGTCATGTTTATAAAGTTCAGCGTACAGAGTACACTTCGACAGTCAAAGGCCAGGTAGGTGAACGGATCAACGCTTCGCCGGTGGTCTGCCTGGATTCCATGAGCGGTGGAACTGTGCCTTATACATCTTCTGGCAAGAGTTCGCGAACCGAAAGGCAAATATCAGGCAGACATTTGATGTTGTTCAGGCAAACCCAGCCTCAGAATGAGTCGCACCTACATTGAATACGTGGTGGCCAGCGAAGGCAGGGAGGCCGACATTTTCAACTTGGGCGAAGGCGGGTCAAAGTGGTGCATTGGGTTGATGCCGGTCAGTTAGGCAGAATGGCTGGAATGACTTGGTCAGCCCCTAAAGCCTGAGAACGAGGCAGAATTGACAGCATGCCTACGAGGGTGACCACCCACACTCGAGTCACGAAATTTGACAAGTTTCACAAGATTATTTGGCCCTTTTCTAAGCGATCAAACCAGGCTTGTGCTCGGTGAAGAAACGATGATTTGGCCTGACTACAGTATCCGACCCATCCATGATCCAATACGATTCCAACTCCTCCAGTCCGATCAGAACCAAATCCCGCTTCTCTTTTTCCGTCTACCGAGACAACTCCTAAGTGAACCCGTCCATTTTGCCCATACTTTACAGGTAGGCGTAATCATGGTGTTTTTTGGCGTGGTGGGTGTTCCCGGTGGTTCGACTGTTGGAATGGCTCGTTCCGAGATGGGCTTTACATACTGGTCCAAGAGAAAATTCCACGGCTTCAAAGCTTCTTTGGAAGTCCGGACGCAAATCGGAAAAGCCCGCGTTCCAACATGGCGAGCCATCTTGCAAATTTCCTTATCCGAAACTTGAGCTGGCTGGACATCCGCATGAGTCCCAACTAAGCACACCACCGCCCCATGTTCTCGAATATGTCGAAAGTATTCCGAGAACGCACAAAGCTTTTGGAAGGAATCTCTTGAAGCGATGCTGAAAACGCCTATTATTGCATTGGCTCTCCGGGAGGTTGGATTGTGAGTGTCATAGATATGCACGTCGATCACATCAGAATCATGAATCTTTTGTATCTGATAATGATCAGTGGTGACGGTAGGTATATGATCTGCTAGAAATTCCCCCATCACGAACTGTTTGCGAAGTTAGACAATTTGCTTCTGCGGTGGTGGCAATCTCACCTGCTGAACAAGAGCCGTCTTTCCCACCGCTGTGTCACCGAATAACACTATGTCGAGCTGTTTAGTCACTCCCATGATCAAGCGGTGAAGGAGATGAGTGGAAAGTGGTAGGCAACGCGGAAGGAGAGGACTATGCTATACTGTCAAAGTGGGAATTGTCGACTCATTAAATAAGGGCAGGGGTATCAAAGCTACCCGGCGACCGGGGATATCAGTTCTCGTCATCTCCATGGTGTAGAAATCAGCGGTTCAAGTGCAACCCGCGCGTCTGCGTTATCTTGGGCTTACGCACGTTGATCATGGGTCGTCAATGGTTCAAATAATAGTAATGGTCGAATCACCAGCGGACTCTAAAAGAGAAAGTATACCCATTCGTGAAGAGCATGGGACTGAAGGCAGCCTATCACGCACGGAGATAATGCTAATCTTGGGTATATGATTCCCATCTTCATCGAACATGATATTCGTGAAGGAGATCATCGAGCCACACCCAATGTGTTTGTGAAATGACTGCCTTTAAGACTCTCTTACAGAATGACAGAGTAGGGTTTAACACAATAACGCTATGTAGCCGAATAGACATAGAAGACTTTACAAAATTGGTCATCGAGGTTTCACCTTTCCGGGCGACCTCATAAGAAACGAGAAGGAAGTCCAGAAAATGCATGCCTCGGGAATTTTACCCCTTCAATGTACACCAAATTTATGTGGTTCTACCTTCACATACTTTCTGTGCGTAGACAACATGACTGTTGCCATGTTAGTGCCGAGAGTAACGACGTATACAGGGTAGACGTACACTTCGGTCAACATTTTCAATCCTTCGCATTGTGTTAACTCATTCCGAAGGTCCGCGAGAAACAATTGAATAAGGTGGTAATCCCACTTTAGACCCACGCTCAATGGTAGGAGCATCAATGCCTCGAGTTCCCAGTAAAGAACATCCAACCACAGGTGACCTAGATCTTTCTGTGTGATGATATCAGCCGTCTTTTCGATTTTCCTCAACGGATACAAGTACCAATTCCTCGTCCTTTGGCCACCGTCCAAGAGGTACAGGAAATCCTCGGTGCTCGAGATTGTGGAAACTGTTCTCCTCGAGTATTCGAGGAAGCTTGTCGTGTATATCCAGCTGTCGTCCGAGCGCGGCCAGTCCGTGTGATAGATAACCATGTATGTCCTGAATTTTGCTTTTCTTGCCCATTGGAGCTTGTTGTTCAGATTGCGAATAGTGACCTAAGGTCAAAAGTTGAAATTCTATCCAGCCTCCGTCTTCGAGAATTCTGTCAACTGTTAAACCCCATGCCTCATCTCGCCTCGAAGACTATTCCCTCCGACTTACTCAGAACATCGACGTATTAGACCCGGCAAGTCTTTTACAAACACTCCATGTTGACGTATGATGATAAATCGAAACCTCCTTTGTCTCCATGTCCAGTCATCATTATCTTCGAGATTGCAGACCTCGAACTGGAGGTTGGGTGGTACCCACGCTTCAGGCATTTGGCTCTCATCAACGCCGATCACTGAACAAGCCGGATTTTTGTCCGCAATTTCCATGGCCAATATGCCAGTTCTGGTATACAATTCAAGCACGTCAGCACCTTCCAGACGGACGGGCGCACAGAAGCTCCGATCCTTCAGAGCTTTCTTGAAGACGGCATGACGGGCGTCGTGATCTTCTCGTGCCCTGTCATCAGCCGGAAACGGGAAGCCTGCTTCGTTTGAGCAATATTGAAGAGTTGAAGAGGCAAGGACATCTACCACGTCCATATAGACGGTTCCCTAACCGCCAATACTCCAGGTCTTCCGAGTGCACTGAACAGGTGCTAGAAGCCCACCTGCGTGTTTCTTAGCAATTGCCAACTTGGACATGTCGGAAAAATTCAAACCCTGGGCTGGCAATTGCTGAATCTCGGGGCGACTGGCACTCAGTCAGCCTTGAAAATGAGAGATTGTAGTTCACGCCCTACCTGGATCTGTGTCGCGGGTTCACCAGGCTCTGGAGTTGTCGCCATGGGCTTTTTCGAAGATTAATTGCACTTCAAGTAAATCAGAGAGAAAACCGAACCTCGTTTTGGAGTAACCCGTTCCGTGGTGGAGGGAAAGGAGTGAAAGTACGGTGTCTTGTGAGAGTAGACTTCAGTAGGCAGGTGTAGGAGAGAGAGGAAGTCGGGCAAAAGATACGAGACGAGGAAAGATCTTTATTCTGGTAGATCAGCTCCTAGTCATCACGCTTAGCTGGAAGACCTCATGAGACACACGGTCCTGTTGCTGTTTAAGGAGAAATGGAAATATCTCTGACTTCCAGTCTTTTGCAAGTTCTTTCACCAGCAAGGAGGCTAGATACGAAAACTTTGATGCCGGCGCCATAAATTCCATGTTCGACTTTGTAATTTTGTGGCTACCATTTCAGTATGTGGTTGCAGTTCGAATCAGTAACTGTAGCATTGACCAGCAACAAGGAGAAGGCACGGTGCCGTCAGTGCCAAGGAAGACCGGAAGATCTCTTCTGCTACTTACTGCGGTCATCATGATTAGGTACAGTATCCTCAGCGACATAATCCCCCGGCTTCTGTGGCACAGTTTCTATCCATCAGCCAGTCTTAAATACTCCATGATTGAGTGCATTCGCCTAGGTCCACCTACACCTGTTTAAGCGAGGGTGTCTACATCAACCATAACCGTGCTCAATTATAAGAACCCATTTCTGCTTCGCCGCAGTAGAGCGCAACCGTTCCAGGTCCTTATTATCCAGACACCGGATCATCGTTCCCAGGAACGCTTGATAGTTAACAGCCTTGAACAGTTCTTGCGTGGGACCTGATAATGATCTTAGAGTATCTTGTACATCTTTTTGTCGGTCTGCTCAACGATGGGCTGCATTTGATGGTCTTCTCTTCGGCCTAGGGTCAAGAGACGAATCGATGCTCTGCATAGTCTCATGTGCGTCAAACCCCGGGATCTTTGTAGTCGCCCCTTGGCGATCAGGTGCCTGTTGAAGGCCTGTTTGTCCGCATTGCAGAGTCCCCTGTACAACCAAAAAAGCCTCATAGTGGTGCGAACTCCGCAACGTGACGCTTGTCTCTTAGAATGATCGAAAATAGTCGGAGAGATCGTCTAACGAAAAGGAAAGAATGACTTGGTAGGTTTAGTATAGCTTCGCAATCGCGTGTCGTGTGGTTCGAGAGAAATCTATTTATTCGACCTCTTGCGTACGTCTTCTAATAGTCCTTTTATGTTGTTAGGAAGCTTTTTGTCCGAGAGGGGAGATATTTCAAGCCTTTTATAGACTTATCGATGTTTTCCACATCAAGTGCGCAATTGATAGCGAGTTTCAAATCCTCTCGATTCTGGTCCGTTTGGTTCGCAGCATAAACTATGAGCGCCTTTTTGACAAGGGAAAGGTGAAGTTTCATCACATCGGGCCAGTCCCTGTTATGATTTTCTTCAAGAGCCTTCAGATAAGAGTCAATATTGTCGGAAGACATGGTCGGTTCTGGGGATGGTTATATTAGAGTGCTTTTTGGATTGCTTTGCGTGGGAAGTGAACTTCGTAAATAGTCTGGCGTAACCACTCTCTTTAAGTACATCAACGGGGAGTCCATATATCGTTAGAGGGGCTAGGAAGTTGCAGAAGTCGAGAGTTGGACACAAAGCTGCGCCTCTTGGAAGATTCGAAAGCGGCTTGTCATTTCGTGCTAGGCTTTGCTCATGTCCACGACGACAACTTATTAACATTGAAATGGACTAAATAGAAATGCACACAATAGATTTTCCGTTTGCGTAAGGACCTGGTTTATTCTGGGATAGGCCTGGCATTCATGCGTATCCATAGTAACGAAAAATTTGACAGTCGAAAGACTGACTGGTATACAGCCCAGATTTTGATACAGGGACGTGAAGCTCAGTAATCTTGTTTATCAGGCCAATGCCTGTTCTTCCGACCTAATTTACTACAACCCATAATTATCATTGCTCTAAAGCTATTCTTAACGTTAATTCCTGCCTGACAAATCCACTAAATATGAGTCCTTCGAAGGGTAAGATGAAGGAATTCACAAAGTCACGGCGTCGACGAACAAAGCACGTGAGCAGCGCCTGTGAGACTTGTAGACAACGGAGAAGAAAGGTATATCGCTTGATCGTCTCAATAAGTTTTACATTTAACAGTGAACCAGTGTGATAAGAAGCGGCCATGTAATCAATGCAAGAACGCGGGATGGGAATGTAAAGAACAAGTCAAGAAAGACTTGAGGGGAAAGGATTTTCGTCAGGAAGAGGCGTGGAGGGCAAGATTAATGGGTCAAATCATAGACATATGCCAGGATTCAACCACTCTAGAGTTCATGGATCTCATGACGGTCTTCCACAATCAACCCTCGTGTGAGGATATTGATCGGGTTCTCAACAACACAAAAAATTCACAAAGATTGGCCGCGAGACAATATGAAGTGTTCCCAAATGATGACCGACAAATAATGTTGCCTGGCTACCAGCCCGACCGCTATGAACACGGTTTCCAGACGACCATTCCGCACAGGCACCCAAATATGAGTAGGGAGAAGTATGTTGAGCTGCGGGTGGACCGCCATGTGAAAACAAAGAGTGATAACCATACCAGCATAGATGCTGGCAGGCAAAGGATCAGTATTCAGGCACTGACACTCCCGTGAATGGCGACAAATGTTGTCGGTCCTCAACACCTGCATCCACATCTCTCGCCATTCCCATAAATACTTTGAAAAACAATCTGCGAAGGATATCTGCATCAGAAGGGTCGAAGCTTGGAATGCCGACGGTTGTCTCATGTATGATCGTGAGAATCCGGAGCACAGAGACAACCTTTAATGGGAAGGCATTCAACGAAATACTTTTGTATTTCTGAGATCCATGCTGTAAAGCTAGTTATACAGCTGTCATCGAATTCAAAAAAGGACTCCTGTTGTTCATATGTATTGCGATGACCCAAACATAGAAGCGTAGTCAGCTGGTAAGAAGGTTGATTCGTGGTTTTATCGGGGGCCATGACCAAACTCGGGTATTCTGCAAGGCGACTGGACTGGAAATAGAGCTGTTTGGGAACGTTGGGCGATGAAGTGTAGGAGGTTGTGCTGGCAAGCGACGTCTTTTATGTGTTCACGCTGACTTGAGAATACAGAATATCCGGCAAATATGATGAGACATAGACCTCTGTCTGCCCCTTGACAAAAGCAAATATCTTAGGCCCGAAACGAACTTCAAACCCTGAGTGATGGGACGGCTGTGGTCTCGGGATTTAAGTGCCGGGGATCAAGGAGAAAGTCTTAAATCACACCCTCAGATCAAAGAAAGAGTAACTCCTGCTGCGTTACTGTTTCCTATTTACAATCCACAAACAAAGCAAGATGCTGAGAGGAAGAGATGTTTGAGAGTGGTTAGCGGGAGGCTTGAAGGGAGTTCTTGTCCAATCTGTCACTGAAAATGGTCATGGTGACAAATTCTATCCCTGAGCGTGCATTCTGATAAAGAGAAACTCTGTCAACCAAAGTAGGAGATCTAGAGACGCACAGATGTCCCATCAATGGACTTCACAATGCCATAGAATATGTACCAAAGCTTCCCTGTCCATAAGCCAGAATTCTACCAGACTCTTCGAATAAAACCCTCAACATAGGGATAGATAATATCAAGTAATAATACACGGCCTCCAGATTGTGGGTTTAATTAAGCACCCACACGCGAAGGAGATCAACATATGCACCAACAATTTCCCTCGACACCCTGTTAACGAAACTCGGCTTCCGAAAAGTGGGAGCTCACGTCAAAGCCTCCTTTCGATATCGTCGAGAGCTTATATCGACGGGGCGGGGGCTTGATCTTGGTCATCGGTCCTCTCATTCATTGTAGCGAATGTCGCCGTTGAGTTAGCTCCTGTGTGCTCCTTGGAGACGATCTGTTCGCGGCTCGAGGATCGCCTCACAGACGATATGTTGCCCACGTGGTCGATATAGAGTTGCTGAATTCCACGCAATGCTAAGAGGGTATTGTTTACCAAGAGTTGAATCTTCATATGTAAGCAAAAGAACGATATTATGAAGATTCGACTTACTGTAAGCCACAATGTCTCTTGTTGACTGAATCTCTGTTCAAGCCCAAAGGCGGCAAAATTGATGATAATAGACACAATTGATCGACCCAAATTGTAGGACAAGGGGGAGTTAGTATGCCCTGTAAGTCGCAATAGTTTCCCTACCCAAACAATCCGATAAAGACAACAGAGCGAGATGGTGAGGGTGAACAGAAGCGAGCTGGTGAATGTATTTTGTCTGTATATGCGATTTTGTTAGCACTATCCATGCACCTCATCAAAGAGGAACACTCACCCCAAGACCAATGACGATACAAATAGACTGACAGCGATGATGCTTGACAATAGTGTCACACCTCGGACTACTGTCAGATCTAGTAATGTCGAAGATTCAATGAGACTGTATACCTCCCCCGCCTGTCTAAGCTGTCAGATAGTCGTCAAAAGGAGCCAGGAAATGAACTCACTTCCAGAAAACTGAGGGAAAAAAGGGCCACACGGGCAACAATGTAATTGATATTAACAAGCTCCGGTGGTCTCTCAGCGATGACAATGACCAACGTGATGGCAAGAACTGTTTGGCAAGAGGCATTCAGAAAAAATAGCTTAGGGCGGGTGTGCCTCAGTGCCAAACTGGTCCAAGCCGCCACGAGAAACAGCATGGTGACAAATACGTTGACCACGCTCCAAAGCCACGCGGGATCTTTCGTCGGAGCTGTCATGATGGTTGAGCTGTGGGTGAGCGACAGAACGAATGAACAGAACAGAAGAAAAAAGGCAACCAGGCAACGGGTGGACGTGCAGGAGAAAGGAACATTTATCTCCTGGGCGTCTGGAGGAGATGGAGCGTTCATCATTGATTAGTCTGGCTCTGGAATTCATGATCTCGCTATCCCTGACACCCGATGTGCAATGTCTCTTTTGATCTCATCTCTCACTTGTGCATCGTAGAAGAAATAGAGGTGTCACCGTACATCAGTCAGGGGCCTTCAAGGTAGGAAGTTCTATGGTATGGTGGAGTGGAGACTCACCGTGGAGGTCACCTTTCATGTGACGGGTGTGCTGGAAATGTAGCCTCTGCGGTTGCATTGGGATAGTACAAGTATCTGCAGGAAGAGGCGGGTCCCAACGTGAAGTCCCGCTAGGCCCAATACAATCTGCCAGGTCGACGTGTGTTGACCTGGCAGAATGTAAAAGGACTAGCGTGTATGAATGTATAGATGGACAAAATGGATCGAAATAGACCTTCTTGTCGCCGGGAGCCTACTGGCGGATTGCTACACAGGTCGCCCAAACAATGGGGGAAGAACCTAGTCGCCTTTTGCACGAGGAGCTGCAAAGCCGGACTCTCAACGTACTGTTTACAGATGAACAGGTAACTTAAGGAGGGAGGTTTCCGGTCACTACTAAGCCATCTGACTTGCTTTAGTTTGTACAACAGTTCCAAAAGGCACTTGATCGAGATCCATTAACGGAAGCTGCGTTGCGTGGTATCAAACCCTTTGTGATTCCGAGCAACCGAACCTCTCGTCGCGCTGCTGCTGAAAAACTTCCGGTTGACACAAAACTCTCCGACAGCGTTCAAGAGCTCTGCGACCGATTGAAAGAGAATCCTTCATGTTTGACCGTCCGTGAGGACCTTCAGACAAGGCAGAATGCAGTCAAGGTCGATGATCCCCTTTCCGTTCACGGGCTGCACACGGACGTGGAAGACAGTGCACAACTCTACGAGGTTACGGACTCGTTGTTATGTATTCTCATGAATTGGTATACTTCAAAGAGTAGTCCGGAAGAATTTGCCCAACAAATTTTCGAATCAAAATGTGCTCACATTCAAGACAAGCTCGAAGCAGAGGAGGAAAAACGGAGTATCATTGCGAACTGTCGACGACGAAGCCTCTCCGGCAGCAAGATATATACCTTTTGCTCAGATTTTATCGAAGACCCGGGCGCAGTTTTCCACCTTCCTCGAGAGGTCAAAGCGTACGTGAGCCCCAGTGGATCTCCTACACCGCTGACTCTGGACAGGATGATTGTTGCTATAGGCCTGCCGAATAAAAGCTTTCGAGACATCCATGACATCCTCTCTCGACGGTTAATAGAAAAAGGAATCAAAATCCATGCTAAAGAAAATAGAGGAGCAGAAATTCTTCAGAGAATGAAGTCGGTTGTTGACGAAGCCACCTTGCGTTGGCACACTCCAGTAGTGGCTGGCGGTGCTCCTCGAAACACGTCTGCTGTGGCGCCAGCCGCCATCCCTTCGCAACAGAGAGACGCAATAAACGACAACGAAAACCTTGAGGCTGTGACGCCGGTAAACCAGACAACCGTCGTTGGTGCGTCCCGCCTGGCAAGAGACGAGCATATATCATGGGACTCCGGTGTGGGCGTCGGTGGCGATCCTTGCCACGCTTCACCAGTCCCCGGAGAAAGTCCTTCCACTCTCAGCGCCCATGCAGTCAGTGGAAGTGTTTTAGAGGAGCCCGAAAGCGACAACATTGGCCGGACCAAGCGTCGCCGTCTAGATCAACCGAACATGGAGCCGCTCGATAGGCTAGGTCCCGAAGGTGAGTATCGTTCCCGGGCCCAGTCACACCTGACCTGACTTTGTAGACGATCGAATTGACCAAACATTGTCGGTCGACGGTACGATATTGCCGGAAGAGGGTCAAACGAGTAATGCCACGGTGATGGCTTACGATGACTTGGACTGGTCGTTCTGGATCAACATGGCCGAAGATGTCGACTTCAACTACAATTTGTTTCACCCATCCCAATCGGAATTCCTACCAGCCGACGAGCCGACGACGAATTTCTAGCATTCTTAATCCCCACCGCTTCGGAATTGGACCTGGCTTAGGCCGTCAATGCCGGGTCGTTCTCATCGCCTTGATTCTCCGCGATTTTCACTAGTTTGCATTCAACAATCATTGAACCAAAACTCCCGCTCTGCAATGTCACGCCCTCCGACCCATGAACCGTAAGAACATCGCCGTCCTGCAAATCATAAGGCTGGTAAATGGCCGCGACCCGTGGTTCGATAAGTTTTTCGATGGGAAAAGGGGCTGGCGACTGTTGCAATGTCGTCGATGGCAACCCAGGGTCATTTTGGTTCGAGTCGACGGAGAAACCCCCATCACGAGTGGTTGGTTCCTCGACGTTGGCAGGAGCAGAGTGAAGGGAATAAGAGCCTGCCGGAGCAACTGCATTCTGTGGCAAGGTCGGAGCTGATTTCTCTCTGCTGGCATGTTCTCGGTAGCACTGACAGAGTTGAACATTCATGATAACCAACACTTGATTTCCAGTTGCCTTGAGACCGGCCGTAGTCACAAGCCACTTTGGGTCGCTTGTGATCTCCAGACGGAGGCCTTGATGTTCATACAGGGAGCGGACAGCTGGGTGCTTCGGAGCGGTTAGAAGGCTTTTATGGCGCGCGACAAATATGTCATACTAACACAACATTTGAGGTATACCTGGTAAAACTCGTGGAATTGGGGATGATCTTGCTCCCAGGTGGGCGAAAGTGGCAGTTCCCACTGATGTTTCCACCGGCCTTTCCGGTCACGTATTTGGACCAAGTCGTTAATATGTAGAATGACGCATTTGACGACATTTCGTACTTCCTGAGGAGCTCTGAAGGTGTGCATCTTGAAGCAGTGAAAAATTTGTATCGAGATGACCTCTCAATCGCGAAGCTCGCTCAAGTGCGCGGAATGGAAGAATATATATCTAAAAGTAATCGTCTTACTTCGAGACACGCGCTGGGCAGACGTTGAAGAAGAAATGACATACAATGTGAAAGGGAGAGATAATGACGGTTTATCAACTGGTTGCGACGAAGCCCACGTCGAAATGCCACGTCATATCGTCTTGACGGCTTGATTGGGCACAAGGGCCCACGTGATTGCCCGTCGGCAGAGTTAAAACGTGAAGACTCTTGATTGGGCAAGAGTAGCTTGCTGCTAGACCATTTTCTCCAACCTCACGATTGTCGAGACGTGAAGGAACCGTAGAGCAAGCGATACCTTCCACTATCTAGATATTCCCATTCACGAGTGCAACAGACCGTAGGAGAGATCCAGATGAGTAACAGCCCAAGACGCGACTTGGTCAACCTCGAGAAATCTGCGTGGTAGTTTATCAATCGTGAATGAATATGGAGGTCTAGAGATCTGGCTGGTCTGATCAGCAAGCTTTGTTCTCTGTGAAACGGGATACAGTACCTTTAATTGTGAGCGCCTTCTTCACGTGATGCTGGGAGCCCTCTCGTCCCAGAATCGCTATTTGTATCGAAAGTGACCTCTTCAGCCGCTGAGAGATCGAATTCTTCTCCGTCCAGTGAGAAAGTTGTATGGGCCTGCAAATATGTTCAGCGTTTGATTTCGCAGGTTTGATGGACGAGCATTTAGATTGGGGTATGGCATTCAATATAAGACGCCGACAGCCATGAAGCTGAAGGAATACATGGTGGAGTACGGCAACTAACCGCCAGGGGATAATGGTGGTCTTCTTACCTGCTCAGCGGTCTGGTTGATGTTTGTCGAAGGAGCGACTTGCTCAGCGGTGTGGTTAATGTTTGTCGAAGCAGCGTTGTTTTGATCGCTAGATCCATTATTGGTGGTCGAGGCTGTAGACGTTGCCTGTTGACCTGTCCCCTCTAAGGAGTGATCCGCATTGCTTCGATTTGCCGACATATTGAGGAAGAGATTTCTAGCTAGGAATATATTGATTCAGACAGGACAGAGTGGGCTGAGAGTGGCAAATTCATCTCAGGAGGAAGCACCCCTTCTTATGATCACAAGCTGAATGTCTGCACTCCAAGTGTTTTCCTTGTTGGTGCTCATCATCGATTCATGCAACGCGGACAACTCGGCTTCAGGGGTTCTGACCAACGACTGCCCATGGTACTCTGAAACGTTGTCCGCATTCGCAACTGAAGCTCGGCTTCGAGCTCGAGGTTCGGCTACTGTTACGCGTCGATCAGGAACCCAGCCATCTCAGAACGACCCGCGCAGACCCTTGTCGAAGACTATCGATGCAATGCCATCGCATCCTGGCTTCATGCTGCAGATTTATGTCAAGAAGAGAGGTGGCAGACCATTATGCGACCTATATTGACGGGTCACAGCGTTTCTGGAAGCGCTGGCTGAGACATGGCCGTGCAGGTAATGTATTGAGAGTGCTTCCTAGCCTCTCTTGGGGCGCAAAGTATTTCAAGGGTATGCATATATTACCCTATATCACAACGTACGTACCTTCTGATGTATTCGAGCTAATGCAGCCAACGATGCCCTGCTTGTGCGATGATTTCCTTCGGGAGACTGTTGATAGGACGATGCTGTTCTTGGAAATGCTGTCTTGAGAACACAATTATCGAGAGTATTGACTGAATACATCGCGGAAGCTCTGCATCGCACTATGTAAGTTAGGGTATTACTAGAGTGTTACAGAATATCGCTCTAGGACGATACATTGGATTTTCTGAAGCAATCTTGTTGCATCATTAAGGGCTGCGTAAACAGCCGCAGCAGAACATTCAAGCATTAGCGTAGAATAATAAAAATCCACCTTGGAATAAAAGTCCACCTTGGAATAAAAGTCCACCTTGGAATAAAA